CATATAAATATATTAACAAACAAAGAATTAACAATAAAAATAAAAAGATAAAAACAAGGAAAATTAAGTTACTTTAAATTAAAAATAGGTAATTAAATCCAGAGATTTAATCAAAGAAAACTAGTTACAAAATAGACTAGAACTCTAGATTAAGAATTTTGACAAAACGTAAACTAAAAGAAAATGTAACAAATAATTAAACTAATAAAATGAACTAAATAAATTATCAGAGTAAAACTAATCTAAACAAAATTACTTACACTGAATCAATTGAAGCTGGCAAATAGTGGCTAAAACGGATATCTGCGGACGTTGGAAAAACTCGAGAAAATCTAGATAAGAACTGGCGATTCAACGGTCGCGTTGGTTTTTTATAGACTATTTTAAGGAAAAATTGGAAGGGATTAATTCTTAAAGACCATTAATCAAAATCATGGTAACTCCCCCCCGCAAGGGTCATAGAAAATTGACTGGTTCAAAGATCATAAACTCTAATACCAACCTAAAATGACAAAGGGTTATTGGTTCAAGCTAAGCGGTCAGATAGTTCTTAAGGAAGAAGGCGTTCCCCTCGACTTTACTCGGCTATTTGAAAGGCCTGAAACCAACTTAGCGGGGATTTTACTAGGCATTGGGCGGAGTTTTTTGCCACTAATACCAACTTCAAGATATACTATAATTCACGAAATTCGATAATTATTGAGAGCTCTCACTAACATGGCTTAAACGTAACAAGGGTTGCCTAATGATTGAATCCAATATTTTTCTATCTGGTTGTAAAACCGTATTAACTCAGTTTGCTTTAATTGCGTTTACTTCATTTAAACCATGCTTATGAGCTTATTAGCTGATCAAGACATATTGTGAAATACTAAATTTTCTTAAAAAACACAATGAATTTATTTTTGATGTTATATTTTAAGTACCCTTTTCAAAATTACTTTTTTCGCACATGTTGAGGATTTCTAAACCTTTCTGAAAAAAACTAACATCTAGCAGACGTATTGGCCATCGTTCTTCTACTTTGGAAAAGACCAAATCAAAATTTTGTATGAAAGATTGGTGTTATATAAATTTATGAAAATAAAGTTGAAATTTCCCCATCCTTTGTAAAAATAAATTGTGATGATCGGCCTTATATTAAAATTTCAATTTGTGATGTCTCATTGGTTGCCTAGTGGTGCAAATAGGTGTATAATTGGTAAGCATTGTTTGTATTTGGTAGATAAGTTTGATCTTTCGGTTGATGTTGCTGCTGGCGCGACATTAACGACTGCTGATGGTGAGCAGCAAAATATTGTGGGTTTGGTTAGGGTCCCAGTTACAGTAGATTGTGTTTGTTAATATGGTAATTTTTTGTCGTACCTTCGCTTCAACACGGCATTATTTTAGGCAGTGACTCCTTTCGTTTATTTTCCCTTAAGTTGGATTTTCAGAAAAATACATGGTCTATTGGAAAGGGGGAACATTGTTTAGGTTATTCAATTTCAACTATGTCAGGAACAGATGGTGTCTGTGTGATACATAGTAAAGATGACCTAGATGCATCACAAAAGAGACAACTCGATACTTTAGTTTGTCGTTTTCAAGGACTAAATAAAAAACAATTGGGCTGTACCAGTGTCATTTCTCATAAAATCGATACAGGTGATGCGGAGCCGATCAAACAACATCATCATGTAATGTCTCCCTACATGCTCGAACAGTTTTTTAGATTTAGGTATTGTTAGACCTTCAACGAGCCCTGTACTTCTTGTGAAAAAAAATAGTGGAGAGTATCGTTTTTGTTTTGATGGGAGACGGCTTAATTCAGTTACCAAAAAATGTGTCTATCCTTTACCCTTAGTCGATCACATTTTGAACAAGTTGTCGGGTTCGCAATTCTTAAGCAGAATAAACTTAAGACAAGCATTTTTACAGATACCTTTAGAATCGTCCTCCTATAAAAAGACTGCTTTTGTTGTGCCAGGTAGGGGACTTTTCGAATTTACACGCATGCCGTTTGGTTTGTGTAACGCGGCTCAAACGCAGCAAAAGTTAATGGACACTATTCTTGGTCAAGATTTGGATCCCTATGTATTTGTTTACTTGAAAGACATCATAGTAGCTACCACCACTTTCGATAAGCATTTTGAGATTCTCAATATCGTATTTGACCGTTTAAGATCAAAAGATTTCTGGCATGTGCGGATGGTACCGCAGATTTCTTAAGAATTTCTCCTCATTGACTACCCCTCTCACATCCTTAATTAAAGGAAAGAAGAGATCTCAAAGAATCGAATGGAATTTGGAGGCCGATAAGTCTTTTGAGTCGATCAAAGAATCTCTTATTTCTGCTCCAGTGTTGGCCACACGGGATTTTTCCAAGCCCCTCACTATCCAATCCGATGCTAGTATGGTTGGATTGGGTGCTGTGTTAACCCAAACAAATAAAGAGGGGGCAGAAGTTGTCATAGCTTTCGCCTCAAGGACGTTGTCTGAAAGCGAAAGGAAGTTTTCTGTTACAGAAAAGGAATGTTTGGCGGTGTTGTTTGCGGTAGACAAGTTTAGGCCTTATATAGAAGGTGTTCATTTTACGGTAATTACGGACCACCATAGCCTTTTGTGGTTGAATAATTTGAAAAATCCTGCAGGTCGTTTAGCTAGATTGACTATGCGCCTTCAACAATTTGATGTAAAAATGGTACATAGAAAAGGGTCCCTGAATGTGGTTCCTGATGCGTTATCGCGCGCTCCCCTTGAAATAGGTTTAGTCGAAGTTATACCAAATGATTTCGAACGAGATACTTGGTACTCTGATATGTTTGAAAAAATTAGACAGACACCAGAACAGTACTATGATTGGAAAACAGATAATTAAATTTTGTTTAAGCAAGTTTCTCATGACTTTGGTCTTCAGATAAACTTACCGGAATGGAAGATTGTAATTCCTAAGTCGAGGAGAATCGATGTTTCAGAAGAAAATCATAATGATCTAGAAGCAGGGGAACACTATGCGACCTGGTTTGATGGGGCAGCCGAAGAAAGTTAATTATCCCTGGCAAGCAATATAAATAGATACTATGGGACCTCTTCCCAAAAGTAGGAAAGGTAATGTTCATCTCTTAGTGGTCTCTGATTATTTTTCCAAATTTACATCTTTTCCGTGAGGTAAGTGCACCTAACGTCATTAAGTTTTTGGAGGAGCAGGTATTTCTGATTTTTGGAACTCCTCAGTTTGTCATGTGCGATAACACCACAGTTTTCACAAGTAACGCATTTAGACTCTTTCTGGCAGATTATAAATGCAAGCCATTCTACAACGTAAAATATCATGCTCAGAGTAACGCTGTGAAGAGAATAAATAGAGTAATAGGAGCTGCAATAAATTGGGACGAAGTAATTCACAAAATTGGGTTTGCCATTCGAACTGCTGTGCATGAAGTTATAGAAATGAGTCCAGCGTTTTTAAATTTTGGAAGTTACGTTACGGCAAGAGGAGACTATTATGGGGCTGTAGATAATACCATTGACCTAGAAAACATTGACCGTAATGCGTATGCAAACGATATAGAAAATCTGCCTGCTCTTTATTTGGATATTAGACAACGCTTAAGGGAGGCATATAAAACAGCGGGATTCGTTTCATGTTAATGATATGGTTTGGAAGCGCAACTATGTTTTATCAAAAGGTCCCGAACATTTTGCTGCAAAATTGGCGCCTAAATATGTTGCTTGTAAAGTCAGAACTGTTGTCTCGCCCCTGGTATATGTTTTAGAAGATTTAGATGGAAATGTCCTAGGTCGTTGGCACGTGAAGGATTTAAAACCCCGATTTTGACTCGAGTGAAAGTAATAGTGATGGTGAATGAATCGTTTTAGAAAAAATTGATGGATGTGAAACGAATGGACTGGGTGGTTGAGTAAGAATGCTGTGTGTTAGTTTAAAACTTACTATCCTGAATTTGACTTTTAATTTTGAAATAATTCGCGAATTAAGATTTTGACTGAACAAAATACCGGATTTGACGTTGTTTAAAGTACCCGATTTAACGTTGTATAAAGTGTCAATAATTAATGGTTGGTGGTCGAAAATGAAAGTATACAATATTTTAGTAGGTTATTTAATAGGCTAAAAAAATATTTTTAAGAAAAAAATATTTTTTTTGGCAAGAAAAGGGGGTATTATATAACGGTTTATTTGGTTTAAGGTAGCAAATAAAACAGTAATGAAATTTTAAATAAATTATTGAGGCTGCGGTCACATTTTTTTGTTTGTGTTGCGAACGGTTTGTCTTAAACAATTAGGTTTTGTAAACGTGACTCTATGCGTTGTTGGTGGTTGTAGACACGACTTACTAATTTATTATTGTCAAATATTTACTTATTAATGATAATTACACAAAATAATAAAAGTAAATTGCATTGATAACATCTGTTGGGCTGTAAAAATGCAGGAAAGCGTCATGAAAAGTTATACCTGAATAATTAATTAGTAAAATCAACTTTCAACATTTAAGTTTTTTGTAAATATTGCTGGGCCAATCAGACTTTAGTTGGATAATTTTGACAGCCAACTTCCGTAAACGGAGGCCATTTTTGATTTTGGTTTCGAAGTTTCTGGAAGCTTTTTAAGGGAGAACCTAAAAGAACGCATTAGTTTTGATAATTAGCAATAGAAAATCAACAATATAATCAAATTTACCTCAGTAAGGCCACCTGACATCCAAGGTAAATAATATCCTCAGTATTTTGACTGGTTTTCCTGTATTTTAGAAAACATGCTGAACAGTGTTTTTTTTTTCAGGCCTTTATGTCTCGATATTTTTATTTACGTCCTTTTGTTCTTATGCTCGATGGTTGTTTTACGTCCTTTTAAAGTAATCGGCGTTATTCGAGCTATTTAAGAATTAAATGGTTAGTGTAAAACCATACACGCTGCTAAAAGTATACTAGGACGATTCAATCGCTGTCTACCTATAATAAAGTTTATTAGTACAAGATTTTCACGAAATACTTACCCAACAACCACGGCGTTCTCTATATAGAGAACGCCGTGCAACAACGCATTGCTGTCCGCATCCGGAGAATTATTGAAGTAATTTGCTGCTACTATGGTGACTTTGTTTGGCTCGATAACAGATGAGGCATTGATGAATCTGAATAATTAGTAGTCAACCATGAATAGGAGTTTGTTTGGTAAATTAGCTTACTCACCGATCTTTGTAAACTGAACACATGTGTTAGGTATTTATTTACTTTGTTTTAATTATAGAGAAATGATATTATTTGGTTCATGTTGACTCTAACACGTAGAACAATCGTGCCTACCACTCAATGTTTCATCTAAACAAGTAATAAAACGAACCATCATATTTTTTTACCAACTGTAAACTCGAGTATTTTTGTTAAAAGAAACATCCCATTTTCCTCCTTCTTTTTATTGTCAAAAGTTTGCTTTTGGCTGGCGCCCACAAATAAAACCAATAATTAACATCTGAACCCTCATTCGCTCCCAAATAAAAGAGTTGCCGTGCATGTGTGCGAAAAGTAAGTATTATATTAATTATATTTAAACTGAACTTCGCCATAATACATACAAAATTTATGAATAGGCAAATATTTAACTATTGTATTTTCCAATGAAAGCCTTACAGTTGGGACACGAATGCTGTTTGCTAATTATAAATTAAATATAAACAACAATATAAATTCATTTATTTTTTTAATTTATTAAGTGTGTCGTTGAAAACCTAGCATTGGTAAGCGCATTATAACAAGTCTTCAAAGGTGTGACATGGCTAGCGTATTAGTCTTTTTCTTACCAGGTTTTTACAAATTTTCCTGGGATTTTGACTTTGAAAATATTTTACCGAAAAATCACAAAAAATGAAAAATTATTAAATATTGACTGAGGCCTCGTACAGCAGCAGATCCATATATTCACAAAGTGAGGCCGAATTCATTAGAAACCCGAAACAAGGATGCAATTCAGTGGGCGACTACCACCGTCGGCGAGTCGGGAGGCCATGGCTTTCAGGACGCAGCCACCATCAAGATTAACAAAATTATTTTTGTAAAACGATGTTAACTTATGAACTACCTTTTTTATTGTTAAATTGAACTGTGATATTAATTAGGAAATAAATGTTTTTGATTTGATTGATATGTATTCGTCTTTAAATCGACAGGTCTGCGGTTCGAACCCCAGGCTAGGTTTTTATTTTCTCACGTGACCTTGAGTTGGTTACTTACAATGTTGTCAACTAAAATTTAGTTACTACGAAGTCTAGTTAGACAGTAGTACTAACCTAGAGATCTAAGAGATAAACCAGGACCTATGAGGTCCTTATCTTTCAGGAAAAAGGACCTTTTGGTCATTGTCTTCAGCAGCCGAAGACATCCTCTTTAGCACTGAAAGTCCTGATGAATCCTGAATTTTAGCCGAAGACATCCTGAAAACACTTCTTCGGCACTGAAAATCCTAAAAGGTAAGACATGCCATCGAAGTGTCCCTTTTTTTTAACCTAACCCTTTTTTTTATAGAGGTTTGGGGAAAATGCATTAAGCACGTTACCCATTACTTCTGGCAGGCCACGGTATTTCTTCTTCCACACGACTATCACAATATATCACAGTTGCCCTATCTTATCACAGTTCCAGTATCACAATAGAGCATGCGGGGCGGATTTACATGGTGTCTTTTTCCTCCTTGCATTTGGCTTTCATCACCCTCTCAACCAATCCGTCACTGCAGCCCAGTTTTCTTCCCTCCTCAGCATCACGTCCCCCCCGAGTCTCTGGTGATGTTTAGACCGCACCGTTCAGCCGCCCTTTCTCTGAGCGATTTAAATCTCACGCATTCAAAGAAGGTGTGATTCTGGTCATCCTCATACTCGCAGTACCTGAACTTCGTGCTGTTTTTCTTTCTTATCTTAAATAGGTAGACCGAGAAGGATCCGTGCCCCGTGATGGCCTGCACCACGTGGTGGTCCACGTCCCTCCCCTTGCTACCATGCCAGGCGCCGATATCCTTGATGAAAGTCGTGGCCCACCCCTCGTATCTGTCCCATCTTGCCTGCCACTCCCTCAGGGTGACCTCTCTTGCCCTTTCCCTCGAGTCCGGCCCATTTTCCTCGATATGGGCCCTTTCCTTTGCCAATAGGTCCATCGGTGGAAGACCTGCCACAACCTGCACCGCCGCTGTTTCCACTGTCCTGTGTGTAGCTGTTATGCCGATGGCGAGCCTCCGGCTTACCCTGTTCATCATATCCGAGTACCTCCAATGGTTCAGCGCCTCTGGCCCTCTGCCCATTGGCTGGCACCGTACAGTATAGCAGACATCACTGAAGGAGCCAACACCCTCCTCCTGCTGCTCCTTGGTCCGAAGGTGCTTGGCAGGACTCTACTTAGCACTCTTGTCATTTCCGCGGCCTTTTCGGAGGTTTTTTTCACATGCTGCATCGGTCGAAGTCCTCCATTATTATATTGGGCGATGAGTAGCCTGCCACGACAGTGATGTCCCCAAGGCGGGCCCTCACTACCCCTTCCGCCCTACTGACCTCCGTGATCCTGGTTTTACCCAGGGCTATTATGGCCACATCCTTTCTCTCATCCATCGCCACCCGCATGCCTTCAGCCCTGGCACGGTTTGGCTCACCTACTATGAGTAGGTCCACCCTCCTTTGTTCGGCGGTTTGCAAGGCCAGGTCCCAGGCCTCCCGACTGCGATTCTGGTTCGCCTGCATGATCCTGGTTTTGCAGTACCCCCGCTCGCCTCCAGCTTTCTCTGCTCCTACCCCGTCTTGGGTTGGGCGGGGGGTTGCCGAAAATCCTGCTCCTTCCTTGTTTTAACCGCTTTCCGTACATCTGCGCCTTCCGATGTTCGAGTGGGGCACTCGCTGATCCTATGCCCCTCCCTATTACACCCTATGCAAACCCTTTCGTTCGAGCACTCCCTGGCGTTGTGGCCTGCCTTTTCACATTTAAAGCAGCACCCTGACCTGTCTGGCCCTTTGCAGTTGGCCGCCCGGTGCCCATGTTCCTGGCACCTGTAGCAGCGGTTGTCTGCTGCTGTCTCCCTTATCCTGCAGACAACCGGCCCTATCCTTATACGCCCCACTTCCACCAGCCTGTCAATTGCCCCTCTGCAGGCTGTTACCCGTACAGCCTGTGTGCGGCCGTGCGTGGTTCTCATAGCGCCCACTACCAGCTCTGCCTTCTGCGCTTCCTCTGCCCCCAGCGCTTCTTTCAGCGCCTCCCTGACCTCCTCTACCGTGGCCAGTCCGTCCATCCCTAGGACCTCCGCTCTTCCGGAGCCTCTGACGGTCCTGGCCTGCAGGGTGTGGAGCTTATCCCTAAGTCTGAGGGCACTCTCCTCGCCGTCTGTCCGGAGCACCACTGCGTTGCCCCCTCTAGATTCCCTTATCGTTTTTATCTTTAGGTCTCCTTCCTCCTTGGTGAGCTCCCTGATCTCTTTGAGGGTATGATCTCCAGATTCTCTCTGCCTATGGCATCCATCATCTCGCTCTCTAGTGGTACCCCCTTTATGGCTCTAATGGTAACAGAGCAGGTGTCCTCCACCCTCAATTGTTCAGCCAGTTTAACCAGGCAGTCATGTCTTGCCCTCTTTTTTGTTGCCGCCTCTTTCGCGCTTTCCTCCTGCATCAGCATCCATGTTGTGGTGGTGGTCTCCCTCAGGTTTTTGTCGCCCACGCTGGAGGTTACGGTCTTGTGTACTGCCACCGTTTGGCCTGGCTTTGGCGTTTCCCTTCCAGGGTAATCCCTTCTGAAAGCTTCCTCTGTTGTCCAGACTGCTCTTGCTATCCCATCTGGCACCTTGTAGTTTGTGGGCACGCACCGTACCTTAAGCGGCCTAGTCTCCTGCTGTATTGCCATCTCTCTCGGAAGCTCCACCTCTGTCTGCGTCTCCTTTTCCTCACTCGCCGGTGTATCAGGTTCTGTTTGGGACTCGCATTTGATGGTTAGCTTCTCAACCCTCTCGTATCTGTGGGCATCTAGCCTTCCTGTTGAGTATCTCTACTTGGTTTGTGAGTCTCTCGCTAATTCTCCTTATCTCCCTCTTCGTGTTTTGTTTTATATACTTTGCAAGTCCTGCCACTAGCGAGGTGATTTGCTCCCTTGTCTCCTCCAGAACGAAAACCTCGCAGAACTCCTTCTTCTTATAAGGGGTTAATTCGCCTTCCTCCCTGTTTCTCTTTTCGCCGGTTTTATTTTTGCTGTGTTTCACGTCAAAGAATGCCATGTTGTCTATGGTCCCTACCATTGGTGACGTGGCCCTTTGGGCAGGGGATGTCCGTATGGACAGCCTCCTGGTAAGATCACTTCTTTGCGGTATCCCAGTACCTGTTGTCAAGCTCCAGGGTTGGTTTGCCCCCGGGGCCGTACAGTTGCTGGTTGACGATCGGGTGGGGCCTGCACCGCCACCACCGTTCCCGACCGGAACTAGGGTATCCCTCCCTTGTTCTGTAGCCACTTTATCCTGGTTGGACTCCATGTTCGGTTTTTTCAGATGGTTTTCTCCATCGCCTTTTATACCTACGGCCAGGTGTATCCCAGTAGTACTTGCCAAGCACCCGGGTCATTCCTTTCGACCTGCTGGCACAGAAGAGATGTGAATCTCTCGGAAAGAGCCAAGGGGAAAGAAAGGAAATAAGGCAAAAAACTATCGAGAAATGGCAGGACAGATGGAGGAGAAGTGAAAAAGACGGGTGGCTGCACAGGCTCATCCCGAACCTGGTAATATGGTACAACAGGAAGCACGGTGACATAAACGAGCACATAACGCAAATCTGTACTTTCCATGGATGTTTTCAAAAATATCTGCACAATATCAAAAAAGTGGATACAGACATTTGCAAATACTGTAATGAGGAAGAGGATGACGCGGAGCACACCCTATTCAAATGCCGCAGGTGGGAAGAGAATAGAGAAGCAGCAAAAACAGCAATAGGGACAGACCTAACGGTAGAAAATCTAATCGAAACAATGATCGAAAGCGAGAAATACAAAAACTACTGGAAGACATCATGAAAACAAAGGAGGAGGACGAAATCACAGAGCAGCAACAAAGACGGCAGCAACTACAACAATGTTAACCATACATGCAGCTCATGAAGTAATACTCAAGTGGTCCCGTGAACTGCAGAAGAATTATAAAAGGGGTTTTAGCCGGTAGAAGTCCGGCACTACAGGGGATGATAGAAACTAAGTCCCCTGTGTCCATGAGGATTTCCCCTTTCACAAAAAAAAAAGTACTTGCCAAGCACCCGGGCTGGATTACGCCCCCGGGGCCGTACAGTCGCTGGTTGACGGTCGGGTGGGGCCTGCACTTCCACCACCATTCCCGACCGGTTCTGGGGGTCCGACTCCCTGTTCCGTAAGCCCTTAGGCCAGGTGAGTGTTTTTTGGTCCGCGGGAGCTATTTCATTTCACTACGGCCACCCATATCTGGGAGGCGTTCCCCTATCCGCCACCCGGGGACGCGCCACGGGACCTGACCGTATCCTGGCTTGTCACCACCTGACCCTGCACCCTGATTTCCAACTATGTAAGGGTTCTTCTGCCTACCAGAATAATCAATTCGGTCTTCTTTGCGGCCACCTTTACTTCCATTTCCTTTAGCATCTCGACCACCGACCATACCGCATGCTCCACGTTCGCCACTAACAACTCCTCCGTCTTGGCCCTTGCTACGATCGCTAAGTCATCGGCATAAGCAACCAGGTCTATGCCCTATTCTCTGAGAATCCTCAACACCTGGTCGTAAAACACGTTCCAGAGAGTTGGGCCCAGCACCGACCCCTGTGGCACCCCACATCTTACTTCGACCCTGTCTCCGGAGGATGTTATGATGACCCTGTCCGAGAGGTAGCTCTCTATTAGATTTGTCAGGTATCCTCCTACATTCGCTTTTTTAACCGCCTGGGGCTGAGTTAAAGGCGTTTTCTATGTCCAACATAACCATGCAGCAATGCTCCTGATTTTTCAAGGCCTTGCTGCGTATTGCCTCCGCCAGTTCCTTAACTCGCTTAACTGCCTTTATGGTAGACCTCCCTTTTCTAAAGCCATATTGTTCCTCATGCAGCGTATTGTGCTCTTCGAGTCTATCCTGCATCCTATTCTTAATCATTGTCTCTAGGACCTTTCCCGCCGTGTTGATCAAGCTCTGTACGTCTGTTCCCCATTTCCGTCTTTCTTAGACTTTTCCACCAACACCAGCCTGGCTTCCTTCCATATTTTAGGGCAGTTTCCCTGTCTCAGACACTCATTCATCACCCTCAGGAAGGTATCTCTCCCCGCCTCTATACAAACCTTTATTAACTCCGGCGTCACCCCATCTGTGCCTGCTGCCTTCCTGTTTTTTTGCTGAAGCGCTGCTGCCGACAGCTCCGCTTCCGTGAACCTGGGCATTTCCTCCTCTAGGGTTACATGCGGGCTGGTTACTTCTCCACTATTTTCCTTTGGGAAGAGCTTGTCAATTTGTTTTCTGATGACATCTGGGGGGGATCGCGTTTCTCGTCCTCAACCTCAGCTTCCTTGTCACTATTTGGTAGGCCTTTCCCCAGATGTCATCATTTAGCTTCTCACAGAGCCTCCTCCAGTTGGCCTTCTTTGCCTTACCTATTTCCTTTTTAAGTTTGTTTTTCACCCCCTTGTATTCCTCTGTTAGAGCAATCCGCCGAAGGCCCTCTGGGTTGGCCCTACTCTCCCTAGTCAACTTCCTACGCTGGTGTACGCAGGCTCTTCTCAGCTCGCTTATTGTGTCATTCCACCAGTATACCGATTGTCTCTTGCTATTTCTCCCCTTGTCCTCGCCAAAAAACTGTTTGCACCTGTTTCGTATCCTACGCATCATCTCCTCCGGACTTTCCTCCCCACCTGTGAACAGGTTGCTACAGCTGTTCGAGAAGGCTTCCAGCCTTTTTTTGTCTACCCGGAAACCGAAGGGAGTTCAGGTAGTTTTGGGAGCAGCTGACCTTTTAACCTTAAACTTTATCGTCCTGTGGTCGTTCAGGTTTTCCTTTTCTTCCTCCACCTCCCAGTCTGAGAATTTTGCTGGCCTATCAGGTGTTACCGCCGTGAAGTCTATGACCGATGACCCTCCTCTTCCTACGAACGTTGGCTTGTTTCCTGCGTTTGCTATGACCAGGTCTTGGGACATGAGCCAATCTTCTAGGAGTCTACCCCTCTCGTTGAGATTTTGGTCTCCAATCATTGCGGTCTTGGCGTTCAATGATTTTTCCCTTCTCCTTTTGTCTTATTACATGAGTGCCCAAGTCCTCCAGCAGGTTCTCAAATTCTGTTATGTCTCCGTTCGGTGAGAAGTAACATGGGTATACCCACACGTCCTTTAGCTCCACACCAACAACTCCCTCTCGACTATACACATTCAACACACCCAAGTTGCCCCTTACACTAATAAAGCTATCACAGTTCTTATCACAGTATTCGTTTATCACAGTTTTCTTATTGGGTTCCTGCTCCTTATGGCCTTGTTAAATGCAGGGCATTTGCTAGTGCCAGTTTTGTGCTCCTTACCGCACAGCAGGCATGCTTCCTTGTTAGGGCAGTCCCTAAGTTTGTGGCCCTCCCTTCCGCACTTGTGGCAAAGCTTTGACCGATCCGGACCCTTGCAATCGGCCGCTCGATGGTAGTAAGCCCAACACTTATAGCAGCGAGTCAGCTCCACTCTCTTGACAATCTCACTCTTTTTTTTTTAGAGGTTTAGGAAATTTGTGTTCAGACACCTCAGTCATTGATGTCTTGGCTCCTGGGGTAGTGTGGGGATGGAAATTAGTTCCGACCCACTAAAACCTTTTCCTCTTTGGCCGTTCCGGTAGATTTATGAGATATCCGGCACCGTCTTGTTGTAGACATAACCTCAGATAGCGCATAATGGCCTAATTCCTGCCTTCATTCTCCAGTTCGTGCTTTATCTTCTCTTCCATTATTTTAGAGATGTACTTCTCCATGACTTCCCAGCACTCCTTGCTTGACAGTATTTTCTGCACCATGTTATCTGGGTTAGTTAGGCCTATTGTGTCGGTCATAATTGCCCTATCATTTTCCCATCGTGGGCATGCGAAAAGCGTGTGTTCCGCATCGTCCACTTGGTCGCAGTATACGCATTGTGGGTTTATTCTTTTTTTTATTTTGGTTAGGTATGCACCGAAGCTTCCGTGCCCCGTGAGACATTGCGTCATGTGGAAATTTGTATTCCCCCATTTTCTTCCTGTCCATTCCTTTAGGTTCTTTATTAATCTATGCGTACATCTACCTTTCGTGCTTTGGTCCCATTCCTCCTGCCACATTTCCATGGTCCTGTCTCTTTCTAGATGTTTATTTGCATACTCATTGCTCTGGAATATTCTACTTCTTTCCTGTGCCAGAAGGTGTATTGGCGGTAATCCTGCGAGGACCAGAGCAGCCTCCGTAGAGCCCCTGAGGGCCATTGGTCTTTGTGCCTTCATGATAGCTTTGATATGGTTTTGGTGTTGCGTGGCGTCTTTCCATATGGGAGCACCATATAATATTTTGGATTGGACGGCCATAGCCAACGTTCTACGCTTTCTTGCGGTAGGTCCCCCAATGTTAGGCAAAATGGCATTAAGTGCTTTTATGACGTTTTTCCTCTTTTTGCAGACTTCTTCAATGTGCTTGCCAAATTGCAGTCTCCTGTCTAACATCATACCCAAGTATTTCACATTTGCTTTAGGGAGTATTTGTGCTTCATCTAGATTGAAGACAATGTCCTTTTGCCACCTGTTCGAAAGTATTATTGTCTCTGTCTTCTCCGTCGCAACCTTTTTTTTTTGGAGGGGGAAATCCTCAAGGACACCTCAATTAGGTAGTGTCGGACTCTTACCGACTAAAACCCACCTCCCTTTTTTCTCCCGTACCCACCGTGGAACCGCTTGCTTGCATTACTTCGCGGTGGGACGGAGGTTCCTAAATCTCTTCCTCATCCTGGCATTTTTTCTTCATTACCTCTCTTATCCAGCTCGTCATCTCCTTCCAATTTTCTTCCGACTTCATTATTATCTCTCCTACGTTTTCTCTCGTTATAACATCAACCTGGCATCTCTCCGCTATTGCCCTTCTCCCCTCCTCGAACTCCTCACATTCAAATAATGTGTGCCTCGGGTCATCCTCATTGCAGCAGTATATGCACTTTGTGTTTTTTTTCTTTTTAATTTTGAACAGGAAAGTGGCGAACGAGCCGTGCCCTGTGATTGCCTGAGTCACGAAGTAATCCACGTCTCTCCTACTTTTCTCATGCCATGCCCTCACGTCCTTAATGAAGGTCTTGGCCCATCCGTCGTAGTTTCTCCATCTTTCCTGCCATTTACTTAAGGTATCTTCCCTGGCCGTCAGCTTCGAGTCCGTACCATTTATGTTATAAATGCTCTCTC